TTTGCGCATTGTAATTATAGTGGGTGTTAAGAGAGCGAGTTGTTAGAGGACTCTCTGATTACTTGAGTGAGTTCGACCATTGTTGAATTGCGACAGTGGCGATTTGTGCGGAAACTGTGGAATGGTCAATACACAGACAGCGGTTTAATACGCATTTGATCGACATACAGAGTAATATGTCATTCTACAATCGGTCAACAGGTTTTACAATATAGCAGACTTTTCATTATCGTGTTTGTCGAGTCAATTTTCTCCTCTAATCAAAACGTATTAAGGTAAACCTTGTTTTGGAAACGATCGGTGAATATCAGTTGTAATTAAAACAATACGTATCAACATGGGCCGGATTGATTAGCAGCGGCGTAAATGGGGAGGAGGGAAGCAGAAGAGCAGCTATACGTCAGTATAAGTGTGCTTAGATCACGTGGTGTCGCCACTCGAGGACAGAGCTGCACCAGCACTGCACCAGCTAAGGCGTATCTGTTGTTGTCAAGTATTTGAAAAGGTAAGAAATTCATATATCTTTGTAGATATTCTGGATTAGAAATAACTGGTGCTGTGGTTATTTTTTCACTTTTTAATATACACATGTATACTTGTCAGGGACTACGTCCTTTCAACAATTCACTCAAACTTGTAACGTCTACTTTTGTGTTACTGATACTTATATCTATATTTCTCATTCACTAAATAGGAAATTGTTGAACCAAAACTAAAATATTATCCAAGTTAATTTCAAAACTTTTGTTAAAACTAGCCAAGCATGGCATTTTATACCGCAAATTCTTGAGATATTGAATATCATCGCAGAGAATATTTAAATTATTTAAATACATATTGTGGATTAAATATTGGGTTATCGTAATAATTTAAAATTATCATCGGGAAACTTATAATCGAATCATATCCGTAATATTGATAATAATCTCCTTTCAGCCACGCTTTTTCATCGAAATATTCATCACATGTTTTGGATGGTGGTCGATTTTCAAGTAATGCTGTACAAAAAGCAAGTTTAGATGATGTTGATAATAATCCAAAACAGTGTTATTAGTTTAAATGTTTATGGATTGTTCTTAGCTAAGCAATACGATCTTATATATGTTATGATATTTTAATTAGCTTATTTCTTTAACGAGGTTCGGTTTGTTTTGATATTTGTCCGATATGCAATATCCACGTGTTGAAACTAGAAACTAGAAAAACTGTTCTGATCATAAGACTATATAATTGTCTCAGGCTGCCTAGTTTGCTAGTCGATGTTTGGTAAAGGTGGTGTATTTTTGGTATGTATGGAGATTAAACCTGTTCAAAACTTCCATCCCAGAAATGTTCTGTTAATTGCAAATCATGTTTCAGTTTATAATTCAATGAATATATTACTTAATCCTATTTTTAGTCCTAACGACAAATCAAAATGTCAAAGATGGTTTGCTTTAAGTTATATATATTCTGAAAACTTTTCCACATCATCTAAATCAGAGTTGTGTTAACACGTCGACTGACTAATGAAGGTTTATGACGGCCGAAGTGGAAAAGCTATCGATTTTCTTGAAAAAGATTAATTAAGATTTCGAAACGGAAATTATTCTTTCTTTTAAAGGTTAAAAGAGACCGTTACGTTTTGCATAACATTACATTGAATATCTTTACCTTTAATGTTGTTCCTTACTTCACTAATAAGATTAAACAGAATTAAACAAATCAAGAAAACGAAAGAGTACATATAAAATGTCTAAGCTGGATATATAGTAATCGAGATATTCAGATGTCTATAAATATATTTCAAAATACCGTTACCTTTAATATCCAGGCTTCATATATAATAATGTCCAAGGTCTTAACATCAGGGGTCATAATGTTACATTATAGAAAGCATCATAAGTACGTATTTTCTATTTTTAGATGTATATGTATCACTGGAATTAGATATTCTCGGTAATACCTTGTGAGGCACTCTTCTAGGTTTTAAACGTTTTTATGGTCTGTTGTTATCGAGACGGGCACAAAAATAGAAATTCGTCTATTGAAATTGCGAAAAGCATTTATTTGAAATACGATAAACGTTGGTGTTGCAAGGAATGACACCTTTAGAATATCATTATTTTCTCACATTTCATAGCTGAAACTCAGAATGCTTCTGTTAAACACCGAATATATTTAACAAAAATGGCTCTATGCACGTATATAAAGGATTAAAAACTTTGTAGGATTGATTTGTTTTTTGTTTAATAAATATTTTACATTAAATGCATTTAATGTATATAAATCATATCATTATTTCATCTTTACAATAAATTCAACGAATCTGATGTACCTTAAATAAGCAGGAGTATAGTCAGCATGCCATATGCAAATTAGCTAACTCTAACTTAAAAATGTGTTTAGATATTAGCCTTGAATTTGATAAGCGTGAGAACTTTTTCGTTTTAAAAAGTCTTTCACCGAATTACACATTTTCCCATGCTTTTGTTACACCCAAATGGCATGCAGCGGTAGATGATTGCATTCATAAGACTTTAAAACCTGACAGGGGAAATCCACTCCAGCGTAGGCATGTGAACAGAACCGATGTTGTAATGATTTGATGATAAACCTTTATTGGTCTTCATGATATAATTACAGTTGGTTGTTAATCATATTGATCTGTGACTGGTGTGTGATCGTTTGAATAGGTAGATACTTGATATATCTAGTTTATCTATTCATGACCTATCTCATCAGAAATGGTAAGCCACGCAGTTACATCTTACATATTGACTCCTTAATAAATACAATCGACTAAACATAGGCCATTAACGCTTACTGGACGTTGAAAAGATAACCTGAATCACCAATATTATAGGATTTGGGTTGTGTCTAAAATGCGATCGACCAGGAACAAGCTCTGAAACATTTTATCCAAAATAAAGTCTTTTGACACTTCAGTATGATACCATTATATTATCTTGCGTGCGCAGTTTCATCATCGCCCACATAATAAATCCTGTAAGTAATCTGATATCAAAAATACTCAGTCAGTATGAATATATAAGGTATAGCACACAACGTAGATACTGACTGCTCTGATTTCTAATTGTTAGTAAAACAAATCCATCGTTACATATTCATTCACCACTAAATCCTCTTGCGTTTGTAGATAATCTCCTTTCAGCCACGCTTTTGCATCGAAATATTCAGTCACATGTTTTGAATGGTGGTCGATTTTCAAGTAATGCTGTACAAAAAGCAAGTTTAGATAATATAAGGTACTCAATTTCGGTTCATTTTATCTTTTTTATGTCAGATATTCTCCTAACAACTTTAAGCAAAAGATAAGAATATGAAGCGTGATCCAATTTACAGGACGATAGTCCTTTTAAAATAAAAACTGCGATAGATACCGACATGGTTAACGTCAACGCGAGATAAGTACGCGTGTTGAATTTTTTTTTGTGCGTGTGTGTTTGTTGGAGACTAAGTGTAACAAAAACAATACGAAAATACCAACCTCAAATTCAATAAAAGAAAGGCAAAATAAGAACAAAAGAAAGATTTAAAAGGAGACTCCTGAAAATGTATACGGAGAATAAGACCAGGTGTTCCGGACGAGTATGCTTCTTTATTTAGTTTTGAAAACAGCTAAATTTGTTTAATTGTGGGGTTAACTCACCTCCCCGCTTTATTTCTTCATTACGTTTTCAATACCCTATTTATACTATACTGTTTCCAACTCTTTGATAAATATAGGTACTCGTTTAAATTACGTTTCTATTTTTGTACAATACCCCAATACTTTCATGCACTAAAAGCGTTTTAAATTTATGATGATTTTATATATCATGAAGATTAACCTAAGGTCATCTGACCTTATACCTGCATAATCAGGGCCCGTATTCACGAAACCATTCTCATGCTCGAGCAAACTTTTTTATAATTCACCTAAATCATATAAAATAATACAAATGTCAAATATAAACATGGAATATAACTTTGACTTGAAATCCTTTCAAAATTGTTTTTAAATCTTTGTGATTTTTTTAACTTAAACAAGACATAAGGCACAAAATTCATGCTTGAGCATGAGAACGGTTTCATGAATACAGGCCCAGGTCTTAAGCAATGCATATTTCAACTTTTTAAAATTCAATAAAAGTGATTCAGTTGAATCCTATGTAAAATGAATATGTTAAATTATTTACCTTTCTTTATAAACCCATTTTAAACTTCTTCTCCAGGTCAAAGGGTCTTTTAGTTTGCAAGTTTGCTTTTGTAAACATTGTGTAAATAATAATGAAAACTTGCGACAAATAGATACAATTTTAATCAGAATCGTTTGCAGTACCACCAGCACGTAAGGTATACAGATGTATTGTTTATAATGTACAAACTTTTTAGTTTTGGTAATAAATTGTATCTGGTACAAACATAGACGTGTCTGTGTGCGATAAATGAAATTTATTTGCTGGGTCCATCTTCGCCCTAGAGATTGAATGATCATTATCTTCTGTTCACCTTCGCTGGACATGTCATCGACCTGGCGGGTGGAAACGAGCTTACCATGTTTGATTCATCTTCAGCGTTTGATGGTCTGGTATCTAAATCGTCTCAGAAATTGTAAAAATCTAAATATTGAAGGACGGAAGTCACACGAGTATTGTTTTGTGTTTTATTTGTTGCATTGATAAAAGATATCATACGAATGACATCAAACATGCTTTGAACTATGACCCTTAAACCACAATAGTGTACAGTTGTATTGGTGTTGTTAGTGTTTAATGTATAGACTGACAAGTGACAGAGTGTCACCCCAGTCTCTTTGTAAACTCCTATCCACACTTGTGGTTTTGTATACACTCCGAGAAGAAAACACACGCTACATATACAAGAATAAGAGAGTGATACAGGCAATATGGGTCTCTTGTTGCTGATTTTCATTACGCTGCGACGACGACATAGGTTTGCTGCATATATGAAATTTCATTGAAATTTATAACGTTTTACCTATTTTTATAGAGGTCATGCCGTTTAGATCATCCCTTGTGGTCCTGGGGCTGGTGTTTGTCCTTCTACTGATGATCACTAGGGGTTCAGCCCGTTCATTCCAAGTCTCACCGGATCAAAAAGAGCGACAGGTAAGCATGTTAGAATATCGACAGTATGCATGACTTGTCTAAGAAATGTTTTCCGATACAGAACGAACATCTAATTGTTTCTTTTTAATAGCATTTAGAATCATTAATGAGCAATTTGGCAGTAAGAATGTCTATCGTTATACGGTTTTACAGTCGTATTTCATACATAAACGTCTTCATGAGTACTTGAAACAAAAGAGGATAAGATCAAGACGGTCTCCAAAGGTTTCAAGGCGTCTGCATTATTGCAAGCATTGCTTAACTTATTTATCGACTTTTCAACAAAAGTACATGTATATGTAAACAGCAAATAACGTTACGTTATCTCAAACGGAATCAAAACATAGTAAAAACAAAGCGAATATTATTCCTTATTTCGTAGGCGGAACCATTAAACCGTTGGTAAGCATATACTCACTCCTGTAGGCAAAAATATTAAGATAAAGGCCATTTAATGGCCACTACTTGAACGTCATCTGATCCCATGCAGGTAGGGCATAAGGACTGTACCTGATGCCCCCATCGTATCATCATAAGAGGCGACTAAATTTGGGGTATAACTTTCTCTTCTTTTCAAACATCTATACTTTCTTCCTCGGTACTGCCTCTGTTCTTGACCTCTAGTTGAACGCTCGTTCTTATGATGCATTATATTCGTGTTGATACCAACTTTATTGATCTTACTTAAGTAACGAAGGAGCCTGGTAACCCACAATAAGTACACTGAGGAAAGTCCCTGGCAGGAGACCCCGCAATAATTGCACTGGCCAAGGTCATTGGATGGAAAATCCACAATAAGTGTACTGTTGAAGGACCCTTGCTGGTTACCCTTCAATAAGTGTACTTACCAAGGTCACTTGCAAGAGACTAAAGTTTAATGTTGAAAGATTCAGGTTTGTCACACTACAATAAGTGTAATGACGAAGGTTTCTTGCAGGACTCCCTACAATAAGTGTACTGACAAAGGCTCCTTGCAGGACTCCCTACAATATGTGTACTGACAAAGGCTCCTTGCAGGACTCCCTACAATAAGTGTACTGACAAAGGCTCCTTGCAGGACTCCCTACAATAAGTGTACTGACAAAGGCTCCTTGCAGGACTCCCTACAATAAGTGTACTGACAAAGGTTTCTTGCAGGACTCCCTACAATAAGTGTACTGACAAAGGCTCCGTGCAGGACTCCCTACAATAAGTGTACTGACAAAGGCTCCTTGCAGGACTCCCTACAATAAGTGTACTGACAAAGGCTCCTTGCAGGACTCCCTACAATAAGTGTACTGACAAAGGTTTCTTGCAGGACTCCCTACAATAAGTGTACTGACAAAGGCTCCGTGCAGGACTCCCTACAATAAGTGTACTGACGAAGGTTTCTTGCAGGACTCCCTACAATAAGTGTACTGACAAAGGCTCCTTGCAGGACTCCCTACAATAAGTGTACTGACAAAGGTTTCTTGCAGGACTCCCTACAATAAGTGTACTGACAAAGGCTACTTGCAGGACTCCCTACAATAAGTGTACTGACAAAGGCTCCTTGCAGGACTCCCCACCATAAGTAAACTAAGCAAGGTCACTGGCAGACAACCCGAAATAAGTATACTGAGGAAGGTCGCCGGCAGGACACCCCGTAATAAGAAAACTGAGGAAGGTCGCTGGCAGGACAACCCGAAATAAGTATACTGAGGAAGGTCGCTGGCAGGACACCCCGTAATAAGAAAACTGAGGAAGGTCGCCGGCAGGACACCCCGTAATAAGTAAACTGAGGAAGGTCGCTGGCAGGACACCCCGTAATAAGTAAACTGAGGAAGGTCGCTGGCAGGACACCCCGCAGACCGTTGAGGTGTGGAGTACCATTTTCATAGACGATATTACGACTAGATTACTTTTTAGCCGCTACACTCAATCGATTAGAGCGTTGCTAAACAAAACCTCAGGTGAATATCCGAGATGCGAAATTCGACTATCCCTACCTGGATGATTTGTATCTCTCAGGAATCTGATAAACTGACCGGCCTGTCTGACGTGGCGGCGTCATTCGGAAAGAACTTTTATCCAAATTACTAGGGATGACAGGGGACGGGCCTCCCGTATGCTGTCCAGTAAGGAAGCCAAGGAGATCCACATAAAGAGTCTGGCTGTTTACCTGACGATAAACCCATAATACGAACAAAATTCCGTTTCATTTACCATTTACAGTTGGACGTCTCGAATATCTCGATATAAAGGCGATTACGCCATTTACTACCGTAGAATCACTCGGTTCAAGGGTGATAACTCTAACACAATGTGACGACACATTTAAGTTGTCGGACGACTGTCATGATGGAAGCATCCTCGATACTCCAAGGGTTACGGTCACTTTCGTAATTTATTTCATTGGGATAATTTTTCATAGTTTAAACATTTGAAAATATCTTACATTATTTATATATAAATATGTAAGCATTCAATGATAACATAGTGTATGTAAAACAACAAATTGGAAGAAGGATGATGAGGATCTATCGCAATCTCCCGTAACACTATTACCGCCTCCAATCGTACGCTGCCTTGCCTTGCGTTGCGTTATTCTCTAGGTGAAAATTACCACCCACTGTGCAGTGGTTATTTGTCAATTTTAAGACTGACATTTAGTCTTGCGCAACAATAGGGTCAACCTGTTGGACATGCCCGACATTTGCTTTAATCCCTAAATTATGTATATATATATATGTGTGTGTGTATGTGCGTGGTTTAGCTATGGTGATACATTGGAAACAGCTAGATGAAATGTGACATCATACATGTAGTTCCAAATAGTATATTTAAAAAAGAATTGTTAGTGGAACTATTCTGTTGTCAAGACGTCGTCAATGACGACTACCGCCACCTACTGCTTCCGGTAGAATATTTCAAATCAGTTGTGGGTCGCAACTACTATATCGATGTTTGTGAGGTAATTTGATGAAAAAAAGAAGATTTTATCATTCGGTTTATCCAACGTAAATATATAAATTTCATTCTGCACGTGCATATAAGCGCATTTACTTGTATTTATGTGTACGTACAGATCATTAAATAATATAATATGAAGTATCACGCAGTGGGAACAACATTCCAAGCATATTACATTGTTTGTTGATTTATCTAACGGTTTTAACGTCCATTATTACGGCTTTGCAGCTGAAGCATTTTATTGAGTAGTCGCTGCTTTTGAAAAGTCTTGTTTTTTCTTTTTCTTTCTTCTTCCTGTCTTTTTTATTATTTAGTTTATGAAAATCCCTTTTCTCGTTTGTTGTTTCAGGAAATCATGGTGTTAGCTGCGAGAATTATAAAGATTGCTATGTCAACGCCGCCTTCACCAAGCGAGGTCATGGATAAACGTAATGCCGGAACTATTGACTCCTTGTACAATTTACCCGACTTATTTGCTGCACGGTCAACATAGATCAATGACGCAAAATCAGGGAGTGATGGTCTAACATAGATCAGGGAGTGATGGTCTAACATAGATCAGGGAGTGATGGTCTAACATAGATAGATCAGGGAGTGATGGTCTGAGATAGATCAGGGAGTGATGGTCTAACATAGATAAATCAGGGAGTGATGGTCTAACATAGATAGATCAGGGAGTGATGGTCTAACATAGATAGATCAGGGAGTGATGGTCTAACATAGATCAGGGAGTGGTGGTCTTACATAGATCAGGGAGTGATGGTCTAACACAGATCAGGGAGTGATGGTCTAACATAGATAGATCAGGGAGTGATGGTCTAACATAGATCAGGGAGTGATGGTCTAACATAGATCAGGGAGTGATGGTCTAACATAGATAGATCAGGGAGTGGTGGTCTAACATAGATAGATCTGGAAGTGATGGTCTAACATAGATCAGGGAGTGATGGTCTAACATAGATCAGGGAGTGATGGTCTAACATAGATAGATCAGGGAGTGATGGTCTAACATAGATCAGGGAGTGAGGGAGTGATGGTCTAACATAGATAGATCAGGGAGTGATGGTCTAACATAGATCAGGGAGTGATGGTCTAGCATAGATAAATGAGGAAGTGATGGTCTAACATAGATAGATCAGGGAGTGATGGTCTAACATAGATCAGGGAGTGATGGTCTAACATAGATAGATCAGGGAGTGATGGTCTAACATAGATAGATCAGGGAGTGATGGTCTAACATAGATAGATCAGGGAGTGATGGTCTAACATAGATCAGGGAGTGATGGTCTAACATAGATAGATCAGGGAGTGATGGTCTAACATAGATCAGGGAGTGATGGTCTAACATAGATCAGGGAGTGATGGTCTAACATAGATAGATCAGGGAGTGATGGTCTAACATAGATCAGGGAGTGATGGTCTAACATAGATAGATCAGGGAGTGATGGTCTAACATAGATAGATCAGGGAGTGATGGTCTAACATAGATAGATCAGGGAGTGATGGTCTAACATAGATCAGGGAGTGATGGTCTAACATAGATCAGGGAGTGATGGTCTAACATAGATCAGGGAGTGATGGTCTAACATAGATCAGGAAGTGATGGTCTAACATAGATCAGGGAGTGATGGTCTAACATAGATCAGGGAGTGATGGTCTAACATAGATAGATCAGGGAGTGATGGTCTAACATAGATAGATCAGGGAGTGATGGTCTAACATAGATCAGGGAGTGGTGGTCTTACATAGATCAGGGAGTGATGGTCTAACATAGACAGATCAGGGAGTAATGGTCTGACATAGATCAGGAAGTGATGGTCTTACATAGATCAGGGAGTGAAGGTCTAACATAGATCAGGGAGTGATGGTCTAACAGATAGATCAGGGAGTGATGGTCCGACATAGATCAGGGAGTGATGGTCTAACAGATAGATCAGGGAGTGATGGTCCGACATAGATCAGGGAGTGATGGTCTAACATAGATCAGGGAGTGATGGTCTAACATAGATAGATCAGGGAGTGGTGGTCTAACATAGATAGATCAGGGAGTGATGGTCTAACATAGATAGATCAGGGAGTGATGGTCTAACATAGATAGATCAGGGAGTGATGGTCTAACATAGATAGATCAGGGAGTGATGGTCTAACATAGATCAGGGAGTGATGGTCTAACATAGATAGGGAGTGATGGTCTAATCAGGGAGTGATGGTCTAATAGATAGATCAGGGAGTGATGGTCTAACATAGATAGATCAGGGAGTGATGGTCTAACATAGATAGATCAGGGAGTGATGGTCTAACATAGATCAGGGAGTGATGGTCTAACATAGATCAGGGAGTGATGGTCCGACATAGATAGATCAGGGAGTGATGGTCTAACACAGAGAGATCAGGGAGTGATGGTCTAACATAGATCAGGGAGTGATGGTCTAACATAGATCAGGGAGTGATGGTCTAACATAGATCAGGGAGTGATGGTCTAACATAGATCAGGGAGTGATGGTCTAACATAGATAGATCAGGGAGTGATGGTCTAACATAGATCAGGGAGTGATGGTCTAACATAGATAGATCAGGGAGTGATGGTCTAACATAGATAGATCAGGGAGTGATGGTCTAACATAGATAGATCAGGGAGTGATGGTCTAACATAGATAGATCAGGGAGTGATGGTCTAACATAGATCAGGGAGTGATGGTCTAACATAGATCAGGGAGTGATGGTCTAACATAGATAGATCAGGGAGTGATGGTCTAACATAGATCAGGGAGTGATGGTCTAACATAGATAGATCAGGGAGTGATGGTCTAACATAGATCAGGGAGTGATGGTCTAACATAGATCAGGGAGTGATGGTCTAACATAGATCAGGGAGTGATGGTCTAACATAGATAGATGAGGAAGTGGTGGTCTAACATAGATCAGGGAGTGATGGTCTAACATAGATCAGGGAGTGATGGTCTAACATAGATCAGGGAGTGATGGTCTAACATAGATAGATCAGGGAGTGATGGTCTAACATAGATAGATCAGGGAGTGATGGTCTAACATAGATCAGGGAGTGATGGTCTAACATAGATCAGGGAGTGATGGTCTAACATAGATCAGGGAGTGAAGGTCTAACATAGATAGATCAGGGAGTGATGGTCTAACATAGATAGATCAGGGAGTGATGGTCTAACATAGATCAGGGAGTGATGGTCTAACATAGATAGATCAGGGAGTGATGGTCTAACATAGATAGATCAGGGAGTGATGGTCTAACATAGATAGATCAGGGAGTGATGGTCTAACATAGATAGATCAGGGAGTGATGGTCTAACATAGATAGATCAGGGAGTGATGGTCTAACATAGATCAGGGAGTGATGGTCTAACATAGATAGATCAGGGAGTGATGGTCTAACATAGATCAGGGAGTGATGGTCTAACATAGATCAGGGAGTGATGGTCTAACATAGATAGATCAGGGAGTGATGGTCTAACATAGATAGATCAGGGAGTGATGGTCTAACATAGATCAGGGAGTGATGGTCTAACATAGATAGATCAGGGAGTGATGGTCTAACATAGATAGAGTGATGGTCAACATAGATAGATCAGGGAGTGATGGTCTAACATAGATGGTCTAACATAGATAGATCAGGGAGTGATGGTCTAACATAGATAGATCAGGGAGTGATGGTCTAACATAGATAGATCAGGGAGTGATGGTCTAACATAGATAGATCAGGGAGTGATGGTCTAACATAGATAGATCAGGGAGTGATGGTCTAACATAGATCAGGGAGTGATGGTCTAACATAGATAGATCAGGGAGTGATGGTCTAACATAGATCAGGGAGTGATGGTCTAACATAGATCAGGGAGTGATGGTCTAACATAGATAGATCAGGGAGTGATGGTCTAACATAGATAGATCAGGGAGTGATGGTCTAACATAGATAGATCAGTGAGTGATGGTCTAACATAGATCAGGGAGTGATGGTCTAACATAGATAGATCAGGGAGTGATGGTCTAACATAGATCAGGGAGTGATGGTCTAACATAGATAGATCAGGGAGTGATGGTCTAACATAGATAGATCAGGGAGTGATGGTCTAACATAGATCAGGGAGTGATGGTCTAACATAGATAGATCAGGGAGTGGTGGTCTAACAGATCAGGGAGTGATGGTCCGACATAGATAGATCTGGGAGTGATGGTCTAACATAGACAGATCAGGGAGTGATGGTCTGACATAGATCAGGAAGTGATGATCTAACATAGATCAGGGAGTGAAGGTCTAACATAGATAGATCAGGGAGTGATGGTCTAACATAGATAGATCTGGAAGTGATGGTCTAACATAGATCAGGGAGTGATGGTCTAACATAGATCGGGGAGTGATGGTGCGACATAGATAGATCAGGGAGTGTTGGTAGTACAAAGATAGATCAGGGAGTGGCTGTCTATCATAGATAGATGAGTGAGTGATGGTCTAACATAGATCAGGGAGTGATGGTCTAACATAGATCAGGGAGTGATGGTCTAACATAGATAGATCAGTGAGTGATGGTCTAACATAGATCAGGGAGTGATGGTCTAACATAGATCAGGGAGTGATGGTCTAACATAGATAGATCAGGGAGTGATGGTCTAACATAGATAGATCAGGGAGTGATGGTCTAACATAGATCAGTGAGTGATGGTCTAACATAGATCAGGGAGTGATGGTCTAACATAGATCAGGGAGTGATGGTCTAACATAGATCAGGGAGTGATGGTCTAACATAGATAGATCAGGGAGTGATGGTCTAACATAGATAGATCAGGGAGTGATGGTCTAACATAGATAGATCAGGGAGTGATGGTCTAACATAGATCAGGGAGTGATGGTCTAACATAGATCAGGGAGTGATGGTCTAACATAGATCAGGGAGTGATGGTCTAACATAGATCAGGGAGTGATGGTCTAACATAGATAGATCAGGGAGTGATGGTCTAACATAGATCAGGGAGTGAAGGTCTAACATAGATCAGGGAGTGATGGTCTAACATAGATAGATCAGGGAGTGATGGTCTAACATAGATCAGGGAGTGATGGTCTAACATAGATAGATCAGGGAGTGATGGTCTAACATAGATAGATCAGGGAGTGATGGTCTAACATAGATAGATCAGGGAGTGATGGTCTAACATAGATAGATCAGGGAGTGATGGTCTAAGATAGATCAGGGAGTGATGGTCTAACATAGATCAGGGAGTGATGGTCTAACATAGATAGATCAGGGAGTGATGGTCTAACATAGATCAGGGAGTGATGGTCTAACATAGATCAGGGAGTGATGGTCTAACATAGATCAGGGAGTGGTGGTCTTACATAGATCAGGGAGTGATGGTCTAACACAGATCAGGGAGTGATGGTCTAACATAGATCAGGGAGTGATGGTCTAACATAGATCAGGGAGTGATGGTCTAACATAGATCAGGGAGTGATGGTCTAACATAGATAGATCAGGGAGTGATGGTCTAACATAGATAGATCAGGGAGTGATGGTCTAACATAGATCAGGGAGTGATGGTCTAACATAGATCAGGGAGTGATGGTCTAACATAGATAGATCAGGGAGTGGTGGTCTAACATAGATAGATCAGGGAGTGATGGTCTAACATAGATAGATCAGGGAGTGATGGTCTAACATAGATAGATCAGGGAGTGATGGTCTAACATAGATAGATCAGGGAGTGATGGTCTAACATAGATCAGGGAGTGATGTTCTAACATAGATAGATCAGGGAGTGGTGGTCTGACATAGATCAGGGAGTGATGGTCTAACATAGATAGATCAGGGAGTGATGGTCTAACATAGATAGATCAGGGAGTGGTGGTCTAACATAGATAGATCAGGGAGTGATGGTCTAACATAGATAGATCAGGGAGTGATGGTCTAACATAGATCAGGGAGTGATGGTCTAACATAGATCAGGGAGTGATGGTCTAACATAGATCAGGGAGTGATGGTCTAACATAGATCAGGGAGTGATGGTCTAACATAGATCAGGGAGTGATGGTGAGTGATGGTCTAACATAGATAGATCAGGGAGTGATGGTCTAACATAGATCAGGGAGTGATGGTCTAACATAGATAGATCAGGGAGTGATGGTCTAACATAGATCAGGGAGTGATGGTCTAACATAGATAGATCAGGGAGTGATGGTCTAACATAGATAGATCAGGGAGTGATGGTCTAACATAGATAGATCAGGGAGTGGTGGTCTAACATAGATAAATGAGGAAGTGATGGTCTAACATAGATCAGGGAGTGATGGTCTAACATAGATCAGGGAGTGATGGTCTAACATAGATCAGGGAGTGATGGTCTAACATAGATCAGGGAGTGATGGTCTAACATAGATCAGGGAGTGATGGTCTAACACAGATCTGGGAGTGATGGTCTAACATAGATCAGGGAGTGATGGTCTAACATAGATAGATCAGGGAGTGATGGTCCGACATAGATCTAACTAACATAGATCAGGGATTGATGGTCTAACATAGATCAGGGAGTGATGGTCTAACATAGATCAGGGAGTGATGGTCTAACATAGATAGATGAGGAAGTGGTGGTCTAACATAGATCAGGGAGTGATGGTCTAACATAGATAGATCAGGGAGTGGTGGTCTAACAGATCAGGGAGTGATGGTCCGACATAGATAGATCTGGGAGTGATGGTCTAACATAGATAGATCAGGGAGTGATGGTCTAACAATGTCTAACATATAAACATAGATCAGGGAGTGATGGTCTAACATAGATAGATCAATACATCATACGAGTCAGTTCCTGGTTCTGCAGATAAAATGATCGATGTAATTGTTATGGTTGTGAGTTTATGTTATTTAACTTTCAATCGAAAATAAGGGTCATTTGAAGGCAAACAAAAACAGAAAAACGCACTTACAAAAATAAAAGTGTAAACATTTAATCTTAAAATTCTTAAAAACTCATGGCAAACAATAAACAATATATATTCATGAAACGCTATACCCTCGGTTGCAACAAAATCAAAATCACATGGTCAAAAATTTGTCTTGTCATAATATGAAAGCAATAGTTATGGCCAATGATAACCTTTTACAAATGTAGGTCAAAGGTGACTTTTAAGGTCACATGGTCCAAAGTTTTGGTACCACCGGAAAGGTTATTTCACAAGGAACACACATGACAATGTGTGATCTCTTAATAGAATAGTTATGGTCAATGATAAATATTTTCAAATGTAGGTCAACAGTGATGTTTAAAGTCACATGGTCAACAATTTAAGTACAGCCGGAAAGGTCTTGCAACAAGGACAATATATGAAAGCATACCTCTTATGACAATAGTTAAGGCCAATACATTTTTTTTTTACAAATGTAGGTCAATGGTTACGTTCAAAGTCACACGGTGAAAATTGTTAGTACCACCCGATTTGTCTTGTGACAACGAACATAAATGTAAATATGAAAACCCCTACCTATTATTGTGCAATAGCTACAGCCAATTTTTTTTTTCAAATATAGGTCACATGTCAAAATCACATGGTCAAAGAAGTTTGTACCACCGGAAAGGTTTCGTCACAGGGAAAATACATACCAAATAGGAAAGCCCTACCACTCACTATGCAATACTTATGACAAATGTCAAAATGTTTCAAAAGTAGGTCAAAGGCGACGTTCAAGGTCATATGGTAAATCATTTTGGTACCGTCGGAAATGTCTTGCCAAAAGAAACACACATGCCAATTATGAAAGATAACAACAGACAAACAGACATCACAAAAACAATATCCCCCGATCTTTCGATCCGGGGGCATAAAAATATACGATATTATTGGAATATACTGAAAGTTTCAACATCGCTCTCTCTCTTATCACTATTTTCCAGATCGTTGTTTTTTTCATTTGAAACCTTAATATTTTTTACTGTAAGTTGAAGTCTCAAATTTAGCACGGTCATCGATACGAATATATATGTATGTCCCTGAAATAATTTTTCTTTTAAAGCTTTCTTGTGCAATTATATGTTATACTGCCAGTTGCTGCATCACTGTTATAAAGTGTCCACTATATCATGGAGATGATGCGAGTTACTATGGCGACCGGTGATTTTTTATGTGCCTTATAAAAAACACTACGGTTGCTAGTAAAAACGTAAGTACACAAGTTACAGAAGTAACATGTAAATATATGTTGGCACAACGCACATGTACATTTTTGATATAGCCACATCCTATGTTCCTCGAAATCACTATCACAATGGATCCGATTTATGTTCCTTGTTTAGACTTTCCGTCATGGGTATATCGTACACAACAGTTCTATCATGTTCCTTGTTTAGACTCTCTGTCAAGGATATATCGTACACAACAGTTCTATCGAATGTCTTTCCGTATAGTGTTGTAACGTACTTTGTGAGGAACAACCCTAGAATATACAAGAGTAGTGAACACACACTTAATATAAGAAGTAGGTAACAGAACCATAAGTCACTATATTCCTCCATTAGCCAACCAAGCAAGAGGGGAACCACGGCAGATCCGGTACAAGTACATACCATGTAAAGCGAGGAAATCTTTCCCGTCGTAGGCGTGATGTAGGTATTAGTCCATGTGAAAACTAATGAAAATATCATAGATCTAAAGTAGCCCACAGCTGCTGCCGTTATCCATATTCCTATATCTGCACGTTTTAAAGAAGAAATCAACAGACCTAGGATACCTGCTAGAACTCCGCAGATATGAACTCCTAGTAAAAATAACGTATTCACACGCGAGGCAAGCATGGCTACGACTATTGCAGCAATACAGCATACGTTAGACACGGCGCTCAGAAGAGCTCCATCAGATGGCGAAAATCCCGCTGCATCTACACAGTACACTACTATGAAAGACATAAAACCTTCTCCTACACATAGACTTATGAACATCAAACTTCCTATTAGGGCGAGACAAACTACTTTTAAATGAATCGGCAAACGTCTAGCTTTTCCTTCTTCTGGTGAAGATGGTCTATCTTCCGCCATTTCGTCGTGACCATCCGTTTGTGCGTTGTTTTTATTAGTTTCTACAATACTTCGAAAATACCTGGCTATAAATGGCAGTGACGCTAGAATGGCCAAAACCGCACTAATCGTATACGGCACAAACAGCCGAGAAATCAAGATGTGACCCTCGTTGTAATCAGTCCCATTCCTATAAGGTAAATTTACGGACGTGTTATCAACCATACTAACGGTGTGGAAATGGATGTCGCTCGTACCCTCTGAAGTGGACGAGACATCCTGGAGATAGGAGTTTATGGTGACGTTATGTAACGATCCGTTGTTATTGTGATACAGCGAATCGGCATTGCCGACATCTGAAAGGAATGGAGCGACAACAATGGGAGCTAAAAACACACCGATAGAGTACGAAAACTCCATGGAAAAGTACATCATCTTATTGTCCCTCCATATGTGCATCATTTCTGCATTACCCACTGAAAAAGAAGACATTTCAATGTTAATGGTCGTGTTTTCATAAGTGTTGAACAAATGACATAAAGGTGAAAAGTACATTTCAATTCAACCTAGTAATGAATACAGTATATCCGGAAGAATAAATTTAATTTCATCATAATAATGTTTCTTGATATATATATACATTTATTCATTCTATTGTATTAGCAACAGCCAGGATTATATGAAGACGGTTTCGTGAATGATATAGTCAATATTCCGAAATATCACAGCCTGTAAGATGTAGCATCAGTACCCACCTGTTCGCAGTATACCGATATAGGGCTAACCATGCCTTGTATGTGCTACATATGGCTGAAATATCACAGCTTGTAAGAGGTAGCATTAGTACCCACCTGTTCGCAGTATACCGACATAGGGCTAACCATGCCTTGTATGTGCTACATATGGCTGAAATATCACAGCTTGTAAGAGGTAGCATTAGTACCCACCTGTTCGCAGTATACCGAGATTGGGCTAACCACGCCTTGTACGTTCCACATATGGCTGAAACATCACAGCCTGTAAGAGGCAACATTAGTACCCACCTGTTCGCAGTATACCGACACAGGGCTAACCACGCCTTGTACGTTCCACATATGGCTGAAATATCACAGCCTGTAAGAGGCAACATTAGTACCCACCTGTTCGCAGTATACCGACACAGGGCTAACCACGCCTTGTACGTTCAACATATGGCTGAAACATCACAGCCTGTAAGAGGCAACATTAGTACCCACCTGTTCGCAGTATACCGACACAGGGCTAACCACGCCTTGTACGTGCTACATGTGGCTGAAATATCACAGCCTGTAACAGGTAGCATTAGTACCCACCTGTTCGCAGTATACCGACATAGGACTAACCACGCATTGTACGTGCTAACATGGATGAAATATCTCAGCCTTTAAGAGGTAACATTAGTACCCACATGTTCGCAGTATACCGAAGAGTTCAAAACTTAATGTTCTTGGCTTGACAAGATGACATGTCTTAACAAGTTACATTATGTCTTTGTCAAGATGAGACTGTGCAGATTATCATGTAACCTTGTCTAGTTATGATGTAAGGCGACCTTCAGTAGCTTAATGAATAAGACTTGTGTTTTCATTTTACCTGTTGGATGCCGACAACAGTCTACTTAGGACGTAACCACCCAAAGAAAATGTTTCGGAAATGCTTCGTTGATGTGTTTGCTACACAAACAAATGTTTTACCTGTATCTACTAAACCTGACGAAAATCCCTGGCAAAAGTGAGCGGCAGCCATCAAAACAAACAGGAAACACCAAGGGATTCCAGCTGTTACAATTCCTATTAGGAGAAGGCCTATAGCATACATGAAGTTCCTGCTTATTTTGTCATATAAAAAGCCCCCGGAAAGACATCCAATGGCATAACCAATGAAATTCACTGTAGATATCCATGAACCGAGTTTCAGCGTGACGTTACTTATAAGTTGTATATCAATAAACGATGGTCCAAACAGCCCACGAATCCAACCCTTCAAAAACAAAGTGTTATTAATTACTGGTATTTAATTGGTGAAGGCTCTGTCCTCTTGCAGTACTTTTCTGTCTTTTACTTGTTTATTAACGTTTGATAAAGAAACCAACACTAAACTAATAAAAAAATGTATATTTACATTGTATTAAATAATACAGTTGTAAGACAAATTACTTTTTATATTGAAAAGGGTGCGATTCAATTGTTTATCTTTTACGATCTTAAAGATTGCAGGTTACAGACGCTGAAACCTGATGGCACATTTTCAATTCATTCAGATAGTTACACGGTTCAGGAAATACAAATTCAAAATTGAAAATAATGAGTTATTTCATTTTAGGATTAATGCACCTCCTCGTCTTCATGTTGACATTTATTTCGACCATCTAGGCTTTCACAATTTTCATCCTCAGCTTCACTTAAGTATCCTAGACGGACGAAACAGCTATACCATCTACAGCTGTGGGATTGCCCAACGTTACAAGATGTGCGGACGATATCTACACGAAGTATGCACGATAGGAAAACTGGACGAAATTCGCAATCGCACAATTGTGCTCACGGTGTGCTTTTCTCTCGAACAGATGTGCGGTTCTGTCCTGGTCAATATTTTCTACTTAAGCCAAATATATTAACGCTTGGTATGGATTAAACATAGACTTTACTTCAGGAGTAGACACAGTAAGACCAAGTTTGGTTACTGATTATTTGTAGAATGTTTATCTGTTGTTAACTTTCGTATGGTAACTGGTAAATTTGTTTATGAAAATGGACATGCTTTTCGCCGTTTGGAAGTTCGCATCCTCCACGGGTTTTCGCTCTCTGCATTCTTGGAACATGTCATGATAGAATTGAAGGTTCCATGTGCGACACATTGTGGACAAGACAAAAGACTAATTTGATCCGTTGATGTGCATCAAATAAATATATTGAGGTCACATATCGGTATATTGTATTGGCTTTAAAGTTGGGTTTGTAATCTTCAAAAGACACGTATCAGCCTTCGATTGGTCGGGTTTTTTTCTCCTGAAATCAATTCTATTTTGCTATGACATGTTCGTGGGGTAAGGTGGTTGAGTGCAATTCGAAAAGGTTGGGTATTTTGATATCGTCAGTGTGTCTGATATCTTAAATGAAAAAAACTTCCACTCGTGCAGAACGGATTCAATAAAAGTCATTGGTGATTTACATCACGTGACATGATACGGATCAAGGTCATTGATACTGTCAATCTGGTACTTTTGGAAATAAAAAATCATCATCAGAAAGGAAATCTTATTATAAGCCATGCTCGAATCTCCGAATACAACGTCAAAACAAGACGTAAATTTCATAAACCACGTCTGAAGAAAAGTAGTTAGAACTGTGTCCCCAAAGGAGTTAAAAGAACATCGGTATATTTCCGGTATTTCCAATTTAAAGATAAATCGAGAATCGTAAAAGTTTCTTATCGTGTTTCCTAAAATCAAAAAGATGTGTAATTAAACCCCAAAACGGTAGACTGTTTATCAATTTATGTTGTCTTAGATTGAATGTACTCTTGTCGCTTTTAGGACCCCATCGACGTTTTCAGAACACCAGTATACATGTCCTAAATTACTTTTTATAAATAGTTTTGGTACCAGGATATTCATGTACTAATTCAAATAAGCGGCGTAAGAAATAAAAAACGATATATTAAAAAAAAATTTAATCTGTAATGCATTAATATATATTCATCATCAGGATTTCAAAACTAGCGTGTTATACAACTTTATTGGTGTCATCAAGTTAACAGACCACTTGGGCATGTACTTGGTAACGATGCTTCTTGGGACTTAGGTAGCATTATGTGCAGTATAATACAATACATGTATGTTTCTGGGGCTGTAGTATACCATGTTGTCGGGTTATTTTTATTTTTGTCTTTGTTTGTTTGGGGTTTTGTTTGGAGAGGGGGCGTTAGTTAAATACACAAGCCGAGAACCATTACAACACACCCGTGTATAACATACATTACATAAGATAAAATGCCGCTGTTGGTAATGACAGTCTGATCAGGATGTAATTTTGTCATACTGGGGTAACCTTATGGCTACGGTTTCTGTACCGTGGCTCGTCTCCGCTATTATTGTAGTACAGAAGTATACAAAAGCAAAGTAATGACTTTTTTCCTGCTTTCATCCAATATTGTTTTTATGATAGTTTACTAACGATTGTGCACAAAGAAGTGATTTTCACATCTTTTTGGTCCTTGCGATAAATAAATAGAAGAAATTTGTAATATAGTAAAAAGATATGAACGCTCCTTTCATTTTGGTAGGCCTCAGTCGGCCGTCGTAGGAATCATATAATTAAATATTCCCACGTTTCGCCAGTACAGGGGGAATTATTTGTCTATAATGACACCGTTTGATATCGTGTTTGCACGTTCCATGCGCACGGGAACACGTTCGCCAGACACAGCATTATTTTTTCTATGTTTTTCAAATATTCATAATTTGAATTGATTCTATTCTTATATTATGCCACAAAAAGAAATATTTTCCTATATAGCACAGGTAAACCGTTACTCATAGGTTTACCTGTATATTTTCCCTGTCCTTAAATATAGATTTCCAGGGACTGTCTCCTGTTTTTCCCTGGACGCCAGGTGTTGGCTGATAGTAAGTATATTAGTTTTTTTAATCATTAAATTTCAAAACTTCATGTAACAATTTAATAGTCATTAGGAGCGAGATTTTGACATTGATTGTTTGCGTTTTTATTAAACATTAAACGCCGGCTGCTAACACACGGGCACGCTAGTACGACACATATACACATATGCTTGTTGAGTTATTTTATGGAAGTAGCGGAGAGAAGACTCAGAAGTCAACGGACAGCAGCACAGTAAAGATCAGGACTTTTTAAACCTGGCTTTGGGGGGAAAACAAGCGGTATATGAAACACTGGATTCTATTATCAGTAGAGATCAAATTGCGAAAGCCATTTGAAAGTTAAAGCCAACTCAGAGTTGAAGCGAAGATCTAATTTCAAATGATTTTTTTTAATCCAGTGTAAAGATATACATTTTGCCTTGTTTTTTATGGGCGTCTTTTCAATGTTATTCATAGACCAGAGCCCTTCCTAGAATCTTTGTCCCAATCTTTTAAAGAAATGTGATGTTAAGGATCTTTAAAAAAATCATCGTGGAAGTTGACATTTGCGTTATTTTGTGAAACTATTAAGTATTTTTTAACTAATAGAAAATCAACATGTGAAAAACAGTATAGTATTTTGTCATACGCAGATTTTGAAAAATAGAATCTCCGCTGGTGATGCATTTCAAAACTTCTTAGTCATTATGTAACAATGCATTAAGAAAGATAAAAAGACTGCATTGTTGCTTCATTGACTTTAGTAAAGCTTTTGACATTGTAGACGGGTCTATATTATATTGAAAATTGATAAATTACGGTATTTTTTTCAAAATATTACACACCTGTGTTAAGTCACGTGTTAAACACAATGATAGTTAGAGTCAATGCTGTACTAAAAGGTCATGTCTCTTTAAAGTGTATACCATACTGCCAGTGATATTTTCCCTGTGTGTAAATGTCTTTGAAATTAATTCCATAATGGATAATTGCTCTCGTATTGAATTACAAATAATCAGGACTTTTCTGTTAGTGTATGCGGTGATTTAGCCTTACTGACCGAAACTCCAGACAGAAGGACTGTAATAAATATTAGTCTGTGTGCATGTATCAAAAAAATGGAATTTGGAGGTAAACACAGGTTTTTTTTCTTCTAAAAATGCCGAAACTTTCCAAAAAAAGAATGAAAGATGGACATCAGGACTACAGGAGATATGGGATGGATAGCATGGGTATTTTAGCAAAGGATGGAAATTTTTCGTCACTATGTTCGGCTTTAGAACGTTGACACTGGATGGCTTCTATACAAGATTTATAAATGATAGTCTAGGCGAGGGAACTCATGGGGAGCTTTATATTGTCCTAAGCATACATCATGTACAAAACTCCGGTTAGGTAAAGGAATGAATTGAAACAAATTACGAACTTATCGACGCTTTAAGAAAGATCTGATTTACAATCATTGTGTTACGTCCAGTAAAGATCCTACAGGAGTGCCTTATCCCGACTCTGTACGGGTTATCTGCCCCTTCCATAGAGATCGGTCGATACACGAACACGCCTTTTTGAATGTTGTCGAATGGAAGACCATTAATTTTCCATTGTACAGTTTAAGTAATATTAGAAGTCATACTTTTAATGAGGCTTCGTGTGTTTCATCCAATTTTCCTATCTATCATTGATCTTTTTCTTCAATTCAAATGGCGGATATCCAGCTTTCATTAACTACGACGGTCTTCTCAACGCTTGATTCCGGCGTCTGTTTCTACGTACTTAATAATGTTACATTATTACTTTACTCTGTTTAAAGCTCATACTTCTTTAGCAAAGTCTCATAAACCGATATCGGCTGGATAACACTTTTATGTTTATAAACCAAAGTTTTATTACTTTGTGCTGTCATAAATGACACTTGAATAAAATTTATAATATTGTACGTTGTAATATACGTGGGAAGTTCGTACTTGATGTGTATCCGGTGTAAAAAAACAAAACACTGAATTTAGGACCACTGTCCTCTAAACATGACGGACTGTGATCGAGAAGAAATGCAATTCCCGGTAGAAAGTTATACTTGTGTGTACAGAATAGTTTTATATAGACCTTTGCTGACAAGATCTGCAAAAACATATGTGATATCCTAATCTATCCTTTTTCTCTAACTTCATGTTAAATTCGACATTCTATTATATATCGTGTAAGTATAAATTCATCTTTGGCTACTGCACAATAGATTAATTTTGGTTGAAAAAAAACGTAAGTAAGTTTTTTACCACTCTTGTCAAACCCATTCATCTTTTGTTTGAAAAAAAAAATTAAACAAACTTACTCAAAATATATCGTATTGTAAATATACGTCACAGGTCCGTACCCAAAATTTAAAACTTCCCTGAATATATGTTTTCTTTACAAAAAAAAATGAAAAATAAGATTAATACAAGTGTAATGAAACTAAAATTTCCTTCCTGGGCGGGTATGATGATTCATTTCCGAGACTAAAAGAGAGGTCCGTTGAATGAACATATGTATACAAATATGATGCACGTGCATAAGTATATGACTCAATGAGGAAATATACTCGTCTGTGCTCGTATATATTTAGAAACTAAATAAACCCTGTCCCACATTTGTTCACGTCATTTCTAAATCTATTTATGGACAGCGATAGAATCGCACATGTGAGCAATAGAACCGCATATCACGCGCAAAGATGGGCGATCGCAAATTTTCTATCGTGCAGACATCTCGTGTCAGATATAGTGAAGACATCGTATCGTGAAGACATATCGTGCAGACATCTCGGGTCAGATATAGTGCAGACATCGCGTGTCAGATATCGTGCAGACATCGTATCGTGAAGACATATCGTGCAGACATCTCGTGTCAGATATAGTGCAGACATCGCGTGTCAGATATCGTGCAGACATCTCGTGTTAGATATAGTGCAGACATCTCGTGTCAGATATAGTGCAGACATCGTATCGTGAAGACATGTCGTGCAGACATCTCGTGTCAAAAATCGTGCAGACATCTCGTGTCATAAATCGTGCAGACATCTCGTGTCAGATATCGTACAGACATCGCGTGTCAGATATCGTACAGACAACTCGTGTTAGATATAGTGCAGACATCGTATCGTGAAGACATATCGTGCAGACATCTCGGGTCAGATATAGTGCAGACATCGCGTGTCAGATATCGTGCAGACATCGTATCGTGAAGACATATCGTGCAGACATCTCGTGTCAGATATAGTGCAGACATCGCGTGTCAGATATCGTGCAGACATCTCGTGTTAGATATAGTGCAGACATCTCGTGTCAGATATAGTGCAGACATCGTATCGTGAAGACATGTCGTGCAGACATCTCGTGTCAGAAATCGTGCAGACATCTCGTGTCATAAATCGTGCAGACATCTCGTGTCAGATATCGTACAGACATCGCGTGTCAGATATCGTACAGACAACTCGTGTTAGATATAGTGCAGACATCGTATCGTGAAGACATATCGTGCAGACATCTCGGGTCAGATATAGTGCAGACATCGCGTGTCAGATATCGTGCAGACATCGTATCGTGAAGACATATCGTGCAGACATCTCGTGTCAGATATAGTGCAGACATCGCGTGTCAGATATCGTGCAGACATCTCGTGTTAGATATAGTGCAGACATCTCGTGTCAGATATAGTGCAGACATCGTATCGTGAAGACATGTCGTGCAGACATCTCGTGTCAGAAATCGTGCAGACATCTCGTGTCATAAATCGTGCAGACATCTCGTGTCAGATATCGTACAGACATCGCGTGTCAGATATCGTACAGACAACTCGTGTTAGATATAGTGCAGACATCGCGTGTCAGATATAGTGCAGACATCTCGTGTCAGATATCGTACAGACATCTCGTGTCATAAATCGTGCAGACATCTCGTGTCAGATATCGTACAGACATCGCGTGTCAGATATCGTACAGACAACTCGTGTTAGATATAGTGCAGACATCGTATCGTGAAGACATATCGTGCAGACATCTCGGGTCAGATATAGTGCAGACATCGCGTGTCAGATATCGTGCAGACATCGTATCGTGAAGACATATCGTGCAGACATCTCGTGTCAGATATAGTGCAGACATCGCGTGTCAGATATCGTGCAGACATCTCGTGTTAGATATAGTGCAGACATCTCGTGTCAGATATAGTGCAGACATCGTATCGTGAAGACATGTCGTGCAGACATCTCGTGTCAGAAATCGTGCAGACATCTCGTGTCATAAATCGTGCAGACATCTCGTGTCAGATATCGTACAGACATCGCGTGTCAGATATCGTACAGACAACTCGTGTTAGATATAGTGCAGACATCGCATCGTGAAGACATATCGTGCAGACATCTCGGGTCAGATATAGTGCAGACATCGCGTGTCAGATATCGTGCAGACATCGTATCGTGAAGACATATCGTGCAGACATCTCGTGTCAGATATAGTGCAGACATCGCGTGTCAGATATCGTGCAGACATCTCGTGTTAGATATAGTGCAGACATCTCGTGTCAGATATAGTGCAGACATCGTATCGTGAAGACATGTCGTGCAGACATCTCGTGTCAGAAATCGTGCAGACATCTCGTGTCATAAATCGTGCAGACATCTCGTGTCAGATATCGTACAGACATCGCGTGTCAGATATCGTACAGACAACTCGTGTTAGATATAGTGCAGACATCGCGTGTCAGATATAGTGCAGACATCTCGTGTCAGATATCGTACAGACATCTCGTGTCAGATATCGTACAGACATCTCGTGTCAGATATCGTACAGACATCGCGTGTTACATATATTGCATACATCGTATCGTGAAGACATATCGTGCAGACATCTCGTGCCAGATATCGTGCACACATCGTGTAACGTTGTGTGACCTAGCCATCATTTTCTCTTCCCAAATCACCTTTCAAATTATTGTCGACATTTCCTGTTGCCAAGACCTTGGAATGATAATACTTACAATTATGAAGAACATGGCGTACACCCAGATGGAGTAAACCATCTTTTGTTTCTGGATCGTTTTGCATCGTTTCCCTTGTAAGCACGCCATTTTCGAGCTGGCCCACTGACACGCTCACTTATCTGCAATACAAAAGCCTCTCTTTGATAGTTTGTACAGATAAAATGACGATATAGGCAGCAGTGAGCTACAAGTGTGTACCGGAAGTTTAAATATAATCCGTGAGGGTTCCATGCATTTTTGTTTTGTTTTGGTGACAGGTGTCACAAAACTGTACATGTCAAAACTCTGGCGATCAATATAGCCATGTAGGGAGTTTGCTATGCCATCCTTCCAAGTTGTTTGTGGTCCTGTGTCCATCGTTGTGACAGTGGTTCCAAACTTGTCGGCCTCCTTCTATCCATTGGGTGGTGATGTAGTCAGTGATTGTATCTACGGGTAGGTCGACGTCTTCAAGGTCCTCCAAGGCGTTGAACCAGCAGTCCTCCATGTGATGTGGTGGTAGTGGAAGAACAGCGACTCAGCAAATATTTCAACAAAATCATTTGTTTCTAATATCCTATTTAAATTATTTTATTTAATTCATATTTATTATTCATACATGCATATATATTAATTAACGTTATAATAATATTTGTATTTGATTTTTTCAAAATCTTTCAAATTGCTTTATGGTTTACCTGGGTAAGTTTACCGGTATAAAATTTTGGACAAATTTTTCACCTTTTAAAACAACACACACCGGTACCTTCAATGTTATAACAACACACTGCCCTATTTGGGTACATAATGTTTTTGGGACAAACAGGACGTAGATTTTTTCAGTTTTGGGACAAACAGGATTTTAACCCCCTACAGGACAGTTTGTTTTGATGGTGATCATAGAATTTACCTTTAAAGTAGTATCAATTCCAACAGGTAGACTTACCTGTAAATCTTCACCTGTTTGCATTCTTTTTTTATGCATTTTTGTTTCACTCACCAACTGGTAATACTTACATTTTAATCATTTTTTTAAAGTCTATGTTCATGATCTTTCTTTTTACATATAAATATTCAAGGATAAGTTTTAACAATAGTCACCATTTAAATAATTTTATTCTATATAACCTTAAGTATGAAGAAACCTATTTGATATATCTTGTGAAATGATTGAATGTCTAATCTTTTGTTTTATTTTGAATGTAATATTGCTGATTTTGTAAAGTTTATATAACAATTATTTAAATTATCTTAAATTTTAGATTATTGACTATACTGACACATTGTACCATGTGCTTAGGTACACATAATCTATTGATGGGCCCTTAGGCCAAAACTTAACGAAATTAAAGAAATCTGAAATTAATCTGAATTATTTCTCATTGATAATAGAGTAGATTTGATACTAATTCCCAGAAATGTGTCATTTTAATAACCAATAATGATACATATTTCTCTTTATTTCCAATACTTAAGTTCTATTTCAGATATCTAGATATATTTGTTTTTATTTCAATTTTTTTCTAGTTTTATTTCAGCCGCTTTTCTCTGTATGTTATAATGTTTTTAGGAATATATTTGGGTGTAGTGCTAAATCATCCTACATAATAATTTTATTTATTTACACATGTTTTACTGCTAAATGTAGTCAAAATTAATTACTCAGTATTTTTTTTACATTCTTTACATTTAGTTAATATCTCAATCATATGAAGACAGGTTGTGAGAAACAGAGGAAAATCTCAAGTAAAAATCCAGGTGAGAAAAGGGCAGCTTATATGAAACAGCATATAATTTTCTTGCCAATGTTTCCTAAAACAACTCCATCCTATTTTTAAAATTGTTGGCACTCATATTTAAATTAGAAACAACCTAAATCTACTTCCAATGTATAAAGTATACAAAGATCACTCTACAAAAATATTGGTATTTAAAATTGAGATATTGTTTTCTTGCTATTTTTTTCCAATAACTATTAAAATATAAAAATTATGTAACAAAAGGCGTGAAATGGACAACTAAAAAATTCCGGAAATGTGATGGTTTGTTGAATACAGAGTACCTCACACACACACACACACACATGTACACAAAGTAAGGCAGATGTGAATTCCTGAGATATTGTTTACACACAGAATGACGTATATCATAGCAAACGATAACAAAAAACATTTGTTTCGGATACACACTTCTCTCATGGTTCTTTAGTGAACAATTCCAGAACTCGTGGCATACGTAGTATGTGTATTATTACGGCTACACTGCATGTGTGTACAGTTGACACACAAACCGAAACGAGTTCAAAGTCCGGTCCTGTTTACTGTTACCTTACAAGCTCTAAGTGACAACATTATCATGTCAATGTGTCTCTAGTTGTTGAAAGATCACAAAACAAGTTAACGATCAAAAGAGAGTTAAAATGATGTAACTTACATGTATGCCAGGCCAGCATGCTGTTCAAACACTGCGGTGTACTATACGTCGACCCAACGCGGTCCAGACACGACCCCAATCAATACCGGATGTCAATGACGGAGTAAGTTTGTCTGTCTAAAACCCGTAATAATATTTCCGTATCTGATAAGTTATTTATATAAGTTATAACTTTAAACGTCAAACATTCCATATATATAATTTACAAAACTGGTTTATTATTCGATCAAATACTTACACTACAGATACATTTCTCGACACGTCGCAGTGACGTAAGGCTTACTAAAATCAGTTTCGGATATTGGTAGGTGAGCGATCACGAGGTCGAACAGTATACGGGCATTAAGTTTAGATTACGACATGCTATTAATAGAATGAAATTAATATTTTCAACGTTTTATTTCCTGCGTGTTGCTGAAATGCCGTTTCTATTCAAATATTCGAAAAGTTGATACACCCGAAATTCTCTTAATTCTTCCTTTGTGTCACGCAATAATTAGAAAGTATATCTGGAGAATATTACCCATTAAGCTGTTACCTTTTGGTTTCTGCAAGCCTTCCTGGGATAAACTGTGTAATTCCGCGGAGGTTTAATGAAATAGAAAGAATTGTCTTATTTTTATTTTTTCAGACTAAACGTGTTTCATATTAATGGCGAATGATAATTATTTCCTTTAACATTGGAAAAAACTGTTGCAGAAAAAATATTTTCCATAGAATAGTTATTACCTGCCGAATTTTACCACAGCCGTGTATCGGAGATCTGTCAACAACATACTTGTAGACAACTACCGTTGTTGTGGTCCAGTAAACTTTTAGATATTTTTATACATTAAGATGGCGTTATTAGGAACCTAATTTCTATGTCTGTTTAGAGGGCCATAACAATGATGTTGTGGTCTACTGTATATTCCTATGTCTGTTTATAGGGCCATAACAATGATGTTGTGGTCTAATTCCTATGTCTGTTTATAGGGCGATAACAATGATGTTGTGGTCTACTGTATATTCCTATGTCTGTTTATAGGGCCATAACAATGATGTTGTGGTCTACTATAGGGCGATAACAATGATGTTGTGGTCTACTGTATATTCCTATGTCTGTTTATAGGGCCATAACAATGATGTTGTGGGCTAATTCCTATGTCTGTTTATAGGGCGATAACAATGATGTTGTGGTCTACTGTATATTCCTATGTCTGTTTATAGGGCCATAACAATGATGTTGTGGGCTAATTCCTATGTCTGTTTATAGGGCCATAACAATGATGTTGTGGTCTACTGTATATTCCTATGTCTGTTTATAGGGCCATAACAATGATGTTGTGGTCTACTGTATATTCCTATGTCTGTTTATAGGGCCATAACAATGATGTTGTGGGCTAATTCCTATGTCTGTTTATAGGGCGATAACAATGATGTTGTGGGCTAATTCCTATGTCTGTTTATAGGGCCATAACAATGAAGTTGTGGTCTACTGTATATTCCTATGTCTGTTTATAGGGCCATAACAATGATGTTTTGGTTTAATTCCTATGTCTGTTTATAGGGCCATAACAATGATGTTGTGGTCTAATTCCAATGTCACATACCTGTTATAAATCTGTCACAAACCTGTTATTAATCTGTCACATACTTGTTATAAATCTGTCACAAACCTGTTATTAATCTGTCACATACCTATCACAAGCCTGTTATGTACCTGCCACATACCTGTTATAAATCTGTCACAAACCTGTTATTAATCTGTCACATACCTATCACAAACCTGTTATTAATCTGTCACATACTTGTTATAAATCTGTCACAAACCTGTTATTAATCTGTCACATACCTATCACAAGCCTGTTATGTACCTGCCACATACCTGTTATAAATCTGTCACAAACCTGTTGTTAACCTGTCACATACTTGTTATAAATATGTCACAAACCTGTTATTAACCTGTCACAAATCTGTCACAAGCCTGTTATATACCTGTCACATATCTGTTATAAATCTGTCACAAACCTGTTATTAACTTGTCACGTACCTGTCACAAACCTGTTATAAAGCTGTCACATACTTATCATATACCTGTGACTTACCTATCAAGAATATGTAACACATCTGTCACATACCTGTCATATATGTCACATACTTTCCATAAACCTATCATATATCTGTCACATACCTGTCACATACCTGTCATATATATGTCACATACTTTCCATAAACTTATCATATATCTGTCACATACCTGTCACATACCCGTCACCTACCTATCACAAACCTGTCACCTACCTGTCAAATGACAAAAATGACACCGTAACAGTTAAGTTTCACTCATTTATTTTATATAAAATAAGGATATAAAATAAGCAAAAAGCGTAATGAAGTAACGAAGTGGATGGGCAAGGGCGAAACTTCCCTAGAATATGACAATTTCTTTTGATTTCATGTTTTCATTGTTTAAATTACATGCCCAGTATACCATCATTCATCTTTGTTTCATCTGCCGGCTGTGTTATTAGGTATTTGGATGTCGCTTTCAGCGTTCATCACTTTCAGTGTGCATCAGTACTATCTACTTCTTTATTAAGTTTTTCCGTGAGGGAGATATCCTCAATCACAGCGTGATCAAATGTTTTGCCGTACACTGTCGTAATGTACTTGGTAAGAACCATTCCAACTATATATAGCACCAGTGCGAAAACAATTAATATGA